GAAGAGTTTCCTACATCATGATCAATTTTATTTGAAACTGCAGAAGAATAAAAACAAGGAGACCACGACAAGTGGAACAAAGTCATTACTTTCACAAGTTTGAACTGCAGAAGAATAATACCTAGGAGACCACGACAAGTGGAACAACAGTAGTAGAATATCAACTTGTTAACGGTGGGAATCCAACGTTACTGCCTTCTGTCTCATTGGTGGCTCACATTTCATGTATAATATGATTGCAAAATCATGATTTAACATATTTGTAAAATCAGCTGCAAGTTCGGTACTTATGGAAATGGTATTTGCCAATGCTTAATGCTTTGTTGCTCTATCTTTTCTCACATGTACATAGGAGATTAGTATGGTTTACTGTAAGTGATCAAGTTCGATGGAAAACTTTTGCACTTACGCTATAATATATCAGAAACTTCTATTGATGACAAGTGCTTTATGTATATGTTTTTAACATTGTCGTGTATAGGTACTCATTTGTAACCTTGGCAGCTCCGATAAAACAAGCTTTCACTATGTCAATGAGACCAATTGTGAAGGTAAGGTTTCACCGAATGGTGCTCTTGTTGGAGCCTTTATTTTCTCGAACTAATATCATTCAACTTGCCTTGCAGTCCAGAGCTGTGCACAAGGAAAAGAACCCCAAGTATAAAGCTGTATTTTCCCTTCTTAATTTACCAGTTCAAGGCCTGCAGTTTGGGAATTGTGGAGCCAAGCTTTCTGTTGGATTTGGAGTCGGTCGTGTAAGTTTCGTTCGCCTTCTCTTTGTTTGAGACATACTCTTCATTTGTCTAAGAAGGTAGGTCATTGTGGTGTTTTAGCTTTCGATTTCAGGACTCATTCTTCTTTATGCTTCCACCACAGGTTGCAGTACTAGATGTGAGTTCTCCATCAATTCTGTTTGTTACCGACTGCATTTCTAGCTTCGTCATCTCCGATCATTTGATTGTCTTGGTTAGAGTTTAAAAATGCTCATAGCCATGTACAAAGCAAAGAGCAGTTGGAAAAAGAAGTTGCAAAAAATTTCTCTATCGACGGTGCCAATGGTGAGAAGATACACTCTCTCATCCATGGCACTTGAAAAAAGAAGAAACTTCACACTCCATGTACATTATAGGCAAGTACCATAATAAAGCTGGATGCTTATAGTTAGCACTTCTTTCGCGCTTTGTATAAAAACACAATCCTAATAGTATTTCCAACTTCAGTGAGCAGTTTTGCACCTAAAACTCGATTGATCTTTGATGGAGCCATTACCATTCCACGGCCAAAACGTCCTGCATCCGCTTGGAAATCTCTGGGTTGAAGGTCATAGATTTGCTTTTCCAGTCAATGGTGAATTATAGAATGTAAAAAGGATTGATGTTGATCGAGTACAAGGGTTGTAAAATTCTTACTTTGAAACAATCAACTATCCATGTTGATAAATATCGCCTTTTCAGTTCCAAAGAATGACCATACCATGGCTATATCTTTGTTGGATTCAGATTATTTTGCTTTGCATTCAAAGTTTGCGTAGGGATGTCGGGTCGGACTTTTAGTTTATTGAACTTTCACCCGCATTGATTCAATCCGAAGTTTTATCCAATTTTTTAAATCATATTTCGCATTCGACCCGACTTGTATATTTGGTTTTATGGGTTAAAATAAGGATCTAATTGAATAAAATAATATAAAAAGAGAGAACAATCATCCATATAAAAGATATTATTATAATCTTACCTAGTAATTAAGTAGTGTTAATTAATTCACGAGAATTTCTCGATGCATGTATGAACATCGTTAGGCAGTGAGTTAACAAGATGAGCTGTGAAGTAATAGCGTTGTAAATTCTATGATACAAGTTGTTGTTTTTGGCTAACTTAATATAAATCTTATTATATTCTAAATTCTTAAATAATTCAGAACTAATATCGTTTCACCTTATTTTCATTATAATATTTTTTTTTCATTTTACCCACGATTTTTAGTAGGCGAAAAGAAATGACATTAGCTCCGGTTAGATTTTATTTGTTTCACGTAAAATATTTTTTGAAAAACGTTTATTGCTCTTACTTTAATAAATAATTAATATAATTGATAATACTTTATTTCAGTAGAATGTAATCTTAACATTTTTATCTATAAATTTATGGAAATAATATTTTAATAATAAATAAATAAATTATTCTAATATTTTAAAATTAATAATATTAAGTTTTTACTATAAATAATATTATTTATTGTATTTAATATTTGTAATAAATAATTTCTAAATAATTCATCAACTAGTGAAAAATAGTTTACACAAACTCTTCCAAACACCGTAAAAATGTTTTCTAGAAAATGTAATTCATTTTACGGAAAATACTTTTCGAAAATTATTTTCAATGAAAAAACAGACCCTTAGTGTGTGCAATTTTTTGGGTAAATTAGGCGTTTAGTATCTAAACTATTAGTTTTGATTCGTTTTAATGCCTAGATTTTCAAAATCATACTTAACGTTTAGTTTTTGTTTCATTTTAGTACCCACTATTAAAAACTTAATGGACAGACTCGTCGGCCACCGCGTCTACAATTGCCTGTCATCACATATGTTTACCGATGAAGCCCAAACTTTTCAACCCACACCTTTTCGACTCCCTGAACGTGATTTTGACTTGTGTTTCATTGAAAAATGTCTCAATCTCTCCAAATCAACGATGAACTCTTCGACTTCTTCATCATTTGATCTATGTCGTCAACCGTACGATGGGCCCGAATTGGACTATGTTAGTCAACTCGTCATCCTCTCATGTTCGTTAAGTTTTTAACGCAATGTACTAAAACGAAACAAAAACTAAACATTAGGTATGATTTTGAAAAGAAATGAAAGTTTATGTATTAAAATGGGTCAAAACTAATATTTTAGTTACCAAAAACATAATCTATCATTTTTTAATAATTATGTTGTATAATAGTCTAATTTAAGACAAAGAGACAATAGTGAATAAGCACACTCGGAAATATTATGTAAAACATAATATTATCTGTTGTCAATAAAAAATATTATAAAAAATATAATATTGAATAAAAATGTAAAGAAAAAAATTAATATTTTATATTGCATCAAATCAAAAATAATATTTTTTATAATATTTTCGATTGCGTTAATTTAATATCATTCGGTAATTTTTAAATTGAATTGTTGTCCCTTAAACTTTCTTTCTTAACGGTTTTTTAGGACACCGACCATAAGAAACTCGTGGGAAAACAAAGAAAAGGAGTTTCGTCTAAAGTTGAACTATTGATTTAATTAATTCTCATAGGATTTGGGCACACCAATATACTATGACCCAATAAATCATCAAATCAGTCTCATATCATAATGCATGGCATGGGTAAAATTGAATATTAATGTCAAACCTGCATAGATTTAATTACATGTCTTTGACTTTCGAACATGCCAACATTCCAAGAATAAGTAATCGGCACATTCAATGTGCCTTAAAGTGCATTTACAATTGAATAAGTATATAAATAACATATTCATGATCCTAAATACCGTTCAATTAATTTTAAAAATATTTTATTTCAATGAATATTATAATAACAATCATTTCAATTAAACTAATATTTATCTACTATAATTTAAAAGATACATTCATGTTCACATAAAATAAGCTGTACTATTAGAAATAACCAGTTTTCAATTATTATCATAGTGACAAATACAAACAACACAAGCCACTCAAGCTCAACTCCAAAGGAAACAAATGCAATCAGTTAGATAACGATATGAGTACCAAATATGAACACAACATAGAAATTATGGGTCTAGGATGATCCACATATATAACATATTATTATTATCAATTTACATAAAAAAAAAGAAATAAATAATGTTTAGTACATTTAAATAAATGAAATTTGCATGAATCAAGTGACTTCGGTGGTAAAAGAATTATTGTTATTCTTTGAGGTTTCGGATTCGAGCAGAAGGAATATTAGAGGTATGAGTGATCAGCGTCAAATGGTTGAAAGTTATCTTTGAACAAATACTTCCTTATACTTATGACATATTAATAAAGAAAAAATGAAATCTAACTAACTTGAGCTCTCTAGGAAATACTGGCATACAAGGAAGCGAAAGCTTAATCATGTTGAATATTGATAGGCTCCTTTCACCTCAACCTATTACTCTCTATTTGGATAGAACCCATTCATTTTTCTAATCGGAGATCTTTTTGGAGTTCAAATATCAACTAAGACTTCATTTCAAATAAAATTCTTTATCATTATATCATGGGGTCGGTTTACCCTACCTAAGCTGATAATCAGAAAATGCACACGGCTCAAAGCACATAATCTAGGAAGTCAAGCACATGTTTTGACTACTTTAGTCCCCAAGGAAACCCAAGACCCACAAATGCCCTCATGAATGAATGTGCATATACACACTATATATGAAAACGTATGTAGACATGCATATGTATATAAAGCAAAAACGTCTATGATGAGCTTGATATGTAAATGTAAAGTCGTCACACTGTGAGAGGTGTTGATGGTAGTAGGAAGGTGGTAGCTTTAGACGGTTTTTTCTTTTTTGAATTGGATAGAGAATCACAATTGGTGGTCGTATAGAGAAAAGAAAGGAAAGGAAATGATTGGAGAAGATGATCAATAGTTGGTGTGGGCTCCAAATCATCTCTTTCAGCATTGTTTGTTCAAGTATATATGTCTCTGACATCACACAATAAGGTGATTGATGTACGACTTAGGATTTAATGACTATTGATGGTTGGTGTCATGCAAAGTGGAGGAAGTGACGAGAATATATTCGGACGAGTCTTGAGATATTTTAAGGAAAATTTTGAAAGTCTCGGAATTTCTCATACGAAGAATGATAGTGAAAATATGTAAAAGAGTAATAACGAAGATTTAATTTGTGGAGAATGTATACAAGAGGCCTTAGCAAGAAAATGAACCATTTCCAATAGTGTCCACTAGAATCTATATATGTAGTTTCCATAGAATATTCACTTTGACGATAAGCATTACCTGCAACACTATCGTTTGTGGATCGATTGCTGTAGATTGATTGTTTTAATCTCTTCAACTACCACCAAGATATAACCTTAGAGCCTTTTTGTTCATGGTGCTTTCATGGTTTCCTCTTAATGGCAATGAAGAAGAAGAAAAAAGTACTAACGAAAACTATCTAGCAAAAGAAGCCCCCAATGGGCAAAAAAAAGAGAGAAATTAAACAAAGTGAACCTGGTCATAGCTGAGCTGAGATTCTTCAACTTTTTGTTCACTACATTTGGCCTTCTCTTCAAAGCTTGTTTAAGAGTGCATTGATGAGAGCATCTCTCTTCTCCGCCCTAGCTTCCTCCCTCATCCGCCGTTGCTCTTCCCTTTCCCTCCACCGCCTCTCCATCATTATCCTCTCGTTCTCCAACGCTTCCATCGCCTGCCTCCACTCCATCTGCTTCGACCGACGCTCGTTCTCCCTCGACTCCAAAGCTTCGCTCCATTGCATTTCCATCTGCAACTGTTGCCTCATGAAATCCTCCAACATCTCCTTTATGTTATTATTATTGTTTCCGCCGCTTGTACTACCCGTCTTCGCTTGCTTCTTCTTCTTCCTAATACTATACTTTTTATCCAACTCGTTCTCCACCATATCTTCTTCCTCATCAGAACACAACTGCCCCGTCTCCACCGTCGAGGCCGACGCCGACCTTTTTCTCGACGCGGCGGTTCCTCCGCCTCCTTCACTTTCCGAACACTGAATACTTTGCATCCTCGACATGAATATAGCCCGCAACTCGTCGTAAAACAGGAACTGTTGCCTCGCAGCTTCTGATTCTATCGTCCCACACGCCTAATATAGTTGACATATTACATATCCCGATCGAATATTAGATCATCAAAGGTTTAAAATCGGATATCAGATATGGTACCTTGAATCGAGTAACGAGGTTTTTCCACTTGCACTTGCACTGTTCAGCGCTCCGATTATAGCCGTTTTCCCTCATCCGTGTAGAGATAACTTCCCAGAGCAGCTTGTTCCTCTTCGTCTCCATGAAACTCTGATCCAGCTCTGCTCTGAATGCTAAAAAATCCCTTGTCTCTTGAACACTCCATTGAGGAAACCTATCAGAAGCTTCAACGTTAGCACTCACAGGCTTCTGTTGAAGATGATGACGCCGATGATGGCTTCCTTCCATATTAAGGAAAACCCAGAAAAAGATTTATCTGGATATGGTGTGAACACAACCAGTGTGAACCATGGAGAAAAAAGAAAACCCTGAAGAAATTTCAAACCGAATAAACAATAGAGATTAAGGGGAAAAGAGGGGAAAGGTTGGTGAATTTTGTTAGTCGTTCGCGTTCAAGAATATGAAATCAAAGAAAACTTCTTCGTTTCTTCTTCCTCACCAGGGATGGGCATGGGTCTGGTTTGAGCCCGACACTAAAATTTTACATAGTTACACGATTTGATTCTATCAAAAAAAGTATATAATCTTCATCTGATCTGAATTCGATCTGAATTTTTGAAATAAAATCGGAATATATTTTAACTTGACTCGAAATAATAAAAGATATTATTTTTATTCAATAAAAATAATAATTTGATTAAAAAAATAATATATATAATGATATTATTATAATTATTTTTAAATATATAAGGTAAAAAAAATTTGAGTCGAATATTTTCACCATAAATTCGAATCTCATCCGATCTGAACATTACCTTTAAAAAACTCAACCCGACCCGAATCTAATTTTTAAAAAAAAAACTGACTCTATCTAATCGAGTTTGATTCAAGTCTCATACTCATCCTTACCAACACATCAGTTTCTCTCTCTCTCTCCATATCTATCTCTCTAGTCTCTACGCGTAAACTCTTTATACTTTTAATTTTTTTTATCCTTTTTCAAATAATTGTTATTGATCCTCTTTTCTTCTGTGGACTATTTGCTCCCATTGCGTTCACGTGGCGTCATGCTGACGGCCTTGTATTTTGTTCTTTTAACTTATTTTGAATGTACATTTTTTTATGAACAAATATTCTCATTAGTTAATTAAAATGATTGTTATTCTTATAGGTATCAAATTAAAGTATGTGATTTGTGAAGATATTTAATTATTTATTAATAAATAATTAAATTTTTTAAATAAATATTATCTTGTAATAGGGACGAACGAATTTGATTTGTCAAGGGACCAATTGTATACCTATTATTTTAGATAAATTTTTAAATATAGTTCAATATATTAAGGTAAGAAGAAAAAGTAAAAATTTTACATACTCATTTTATTAAAAAAAGAACTAAAAGTTTTGGACCTCATTTTTTTATTTATAAATCAGACACTGTATTGTAATCACGTCAGACTAATAAAATATTTTTTTTAAAAATTGAATAAATTAGGAAAGTAAATACATATTTAGTATCTAACTATCGTTTTTGTTATCATTCATATTTTTTTTATCAAGTTATCATTAATAATATCTATATATGATTGTATTATTTGATAAATTTTGAAGTATAATACCAATTATTATCATTATATAATTAGTATAATACTAATTATTTTTAATTAATATTATGACATTAGAAATCAAGTTGGGCTAAAATATAACTAGAAACAAAACATATGGTAAAATCTAAATGAATTAAAATTAAAAGTTCAAATTAGGTAATATACCTCAACTAATATTAATATTTATTTATTTATTTTCTAATAAAAGGGATTTGGGGGAAACAGTTCCCACCTGTAACATACCAATGTCTTTGATTCTTTGAATGTCTTGAGTCAACTCAATGTTAATTTAATTAAAAATATATTAGTTTAGAATTTAATATATAACTAATAAATTTATATACATTTTTTGTCATTTAATTTATTTTTAAAACATATATTTTAACGTAAATTATTTTATTTAAAAAATTAATTAAAAGAATTGTATTAATAAATATAAATAATTAAATATTGTCAACTTTTTGGTTTATGCTATTTTGAACCGTGTGAAGGTGACAAAATTGGCTTTCCACGACTGTTAAGTGGAAGCGGTAACGGTTTTTTACTTTTGCATGGATTCTCATGTGTTTCCCTATGTATGGATACTATACTCGAATTTGACGAGTTTTTGACTCCATCTAACACGATAGTGTTAAATTTTAAAATAATTTTGAAATTAGGTTGAGTTTTTCAAAAAATATGTTCGATTCGGATTTTTATTCGAATTTAAGTTGAAAAATATCTGACTCGACTAATTGAAAATAATATAAATTTATCTTATATATTCAAAGATAATTATAGTAATAGTCTTTTAATTTTTAAATTAGATCCATATTTTTATTGAATAAAAATATTATTTTTATCTCAAAAAATCATGTCAGGTTCAAATCTGATGAAATCACCCCTTAAATTAGAATCGATCAAATTTCGGATGGAGAGTATATATTTTCAAATCGGATCTAATTGATCAAAAATCCGATCCGACCTATGTTTATCCCCGCTATTAAAGTGAGAGATTAATATAATTAATTTATAACTTGTTTTAAAATTTGAATCATATTAAATAATTATATTTTAATATTTTAACCAAGGATAGAGTCAGCGAACCAGACTTGAACTATGAAGTAAGAAGTTGTTTAGCTTTAAAACAAATAAGTTGTTTAAAATTGAATAAACAATAAAATTTAAAGGAGTAATTGTTTAATTTCACTAATTTTAAATTGAAAAATCTTGAAGAATAATTATATCATAAAAATTGAAGGTCAAGACATAATTTTATTTTAAAATTGAAAGGCTGCTTATAAATAATTAAACCAATTGAAAAGAACGAAGGCTTAATTATAATAATTTTAAAAAATTAGAGATATAAAAATGATTAAAACATCAAAGTTTAGGGGGACAATTATGCCTCTCATATATAATGTAGCTTCGCCCCTGATTCTAAAGTAAATAATTTAGAATTCTAATTTTAAATAATTATGATAAATTATTTATAAAATTAATTAAGATTTAAAAGAAAATGAATGTTTGATATATTGATGATGTATGATTTAAAATATTGTTACTTAATTAGATGATAACATATTATCAAAATAAATTTAAATAAGTAAATCTTTTTTATAATATATTAATATTTGATTATTCATGATATAATATATAAATTATTTACAAATTATCTCAATTTAATACAAACAATATTATCTATTTATGAGTGTATATATTTATGTGTTAACTACATGAAAAATCACTTATTTTTATGTTTTATCCATTTTTTGTCAATGATTTTAAAAAACATAAGATATGATCACTTTCATTTTTGTTTAATTAAAATGTGGTCACTTTCGTTTTTATTTAATTAAGACGTGGTCATCATGGGTTAACTGCGGTTAACTATTAACAAGATATGTGATGTGATAGTTGGTATAATCACATATTTTTTCCTAATTATTTATATATTCTCTTAATTTGATCATACTTTTAAATAAATTTTAACATAAAATGTATATTTTAAATGAAAATAAAAATAAAATACTTTTGAATAAAATATTCTCCCAATTTTCTTTCCTTTGTTTTCTTTAAACCAGAGGGTTACACATGTCACGCTTTTATTGGTAAAAATAAATATATTACGGTAATCCTCCAACTAAATGGTGACATATGTCATTAAGGGTAAGCAAAATTCAACCCGACTCAAAGAACTCATTTTTTTTTACTCGACTCTTGAAAACTTGACTCGAATTAACTTCGAGTTGTAATTTCATAAATTAGATTCGACTAAAAAAAATCAAGTTCAAACTGAGTTGTAAAATACAACTCAAATAACTCGAAAAAAATACACATTTTATAATGGTTATAAAATGTGAAGAAATACACATGTATTGTATATGGTTATAAAAGATCATTTAAATTGGAATCAAATAATATCATAAAAATTATAAATATTTATAATTAAATTTAAACAGAAACTCGAAAATTTCACTCAACTCGACTCTAAAAAATTTCAAGTCAACTTCGAGTTTTAAAATAGGACTCGTCAACTAGAATTTTTTGACTCGAATCAGCTCAATCGAACACTCACCCCTACGTGGCATGACATGTGGCATCATACGATTAGATGATTAAATTTATTTTAATTTATTAAAAGTAAGACAAAATTGAGAGAATATGTAAATAACATATATCAAATGTGTGATTATATCAAAATATTTAACTATTTTTAGCGATAGTTAACTCGGGGTGAACGTCTTAATTTAAAAAAAATAAAAATCACTATATCTTATATTTTTTGAAATAAATAGACAAAATATAAATATAAGTGATTTTTCATATAATTAGCCCTATTTTTATTTGATAGGATTATTATTTTATTAAAAGTACATTAATTGAAAGACTGTCAAAGATAGATCACGTGCCCCCACCTTGACGTTTGCCGTTGCGATTTGGATGGCTACAATTGTCAGTATCGTCGTGGTACTTTTGTCCGCCCACTTAACTAAAACATGTGTAAAAAAAATTCGTCTCTTAAATAAGGGGTAGTCTCTCTTACCACGACCTAGTTAAGAAACAGTAAAATATATATATAATTAAAAATATTATAAAAATCATAATATTTCAGCTGTGTGTAACTTAATTTTTTTTTTAATTTTTGGTTAAATAAAAAATATTATGCATAATGTAACATTTTCAGTTGTTAATAAAAAATGTTATAAAAAAAGCTTTTAAAATAAAAATATTAAGAAAAAAATAACATTCTAAAAAACATCCAATTGAAAATATTATAATTTTTATAATATTTTTGATCGTACATTTTATCAGTCTTAAATTAGGTTGTCTTTTCTTATACTATTCATATATTACATTTTATAGAATAATTTGTTTGAGAAATATTCTAATTATAGAATATCTCAAATCAATGCTCATACTATGTGTGATTTATTGATATTATTATTGATGTTCTTTAAATATTCACTAGAATTAATCCACATCATCAAAATTAAGAATAATCATAGATTGAATTACAATAGATTCTTGATCAATTCAATTACGATATGAGTAATATACCTTTTTATTTAACACTCAGTTTAATTTAGATTTTGAGAGATTTTATTAGTTCAAATTTAATTTGATTTTTTTTAAAAATAAAAATTTGTCTCTAATCCTATACAAATTATTTACTTTTATATTTTTATTCGGTGAAATAAAGAGATAATTAAAACATATATAAAAATATTATACTCCTATCTCTCAATATAGAGATAAGAATTACAACATTAGGAAAAAATTTAGAATCTTAAGTATAATTCAATTTTTTTTTAAAAAAATAATCTTTATAAATTTAAGTCAAATCAAAATTTTTATTAAATTTGAAAATTTTAAATCATCTTTATTCGATTGACATTATTATTATTATTATTATTATTATAGTATCTTATAATTAGTTGGTTATGATTAAGGATTCGAGATTATAGACAATTTAAAATTCTTATTCTAACTCATCATATCGATATGACTTGTTTAATTAATAACATTATACAATTAAAGTGATAAAATTATATCAAATTAAAGCATATTGACTAAATCCCAAATCGACTATTATAGAAGTACCAAAATCACAAATTAACCTTCTGGTCATGACCAACCTTTAATTAAACCCCTTTTGTCTTTCTTGACCAAAATTGCTGTCGTTTGTCTTTGTTGTCGTAAGTTTCTTCACGATTTAACGTGGCTATCATTAAAAGAACCAGACCAAGATGATGATGAGATCGATGTCGAGTTCCATGTACGCTTCCACAATTAATTATGAAAAATGCATATAACGTGTTCGAGAAAATGCCAACACCGGACAAATATAATATTATTTATGAGGTACGACGAAAGTTTTTTCTAGACCTTCTTCTTTATCAAATTGTCTTTAGCTTTAACGTGACGATAGCTAATAGCTTTGCTCCCAAATGAAATCATCAAATCATTTTGATGGTACTTGATTGAGCTTACGTATAATAAAAGCATATTAAGCATTCACAATTGACTCAAACATCAGACATTGCTTAAGCGATATTAAACTACTCACAACTTAAACCTAACTTACTACTATTGCAACATGGAAACTAAGAAATAAAATAAATAACAAGGAATCATGTAACTAATTGATAAAAAAAAATAAATTGTATATGAAATTATTATTTTATATTGAATAAGTATATTTGGTTGTTTGATGAAGTTATTCATCTTTATTCCATCATATTCTTTTAGGTCACGAGTTCTAGTCTCACTGGAAGCACTTCCCTTCCTCTTCCCCTCCTCTCCAGATAATATGAAGAATATATTTAAAATATATCGAAAGAAAATTATTATTTGATATTTTGATTATAAGAAAGTAAAGTTTAATAAATAACCTTGGTAAAAGGGTTTCTCTTACTTTTGAATATGAAAATATCGTATATTCGAATTTAACAAATATCCATTAACCTTGTGGCCAATTTTTTATTTCAGAAAATTATCAATTAGACTAGATTTCGAATTGTGTAGATAAAGGACTGAATTATTGAAATTAAAAATAAAGAAATTAAATTTCAAAAGTTCAACAAGTAAAGGACCAAGCAGAAATAAACCAAAACTAGTGATAAAGAAGATGGGGCATAGGGAAAACAATAGTAAGCTGGGCAAGCATTTGTGAAACCAAAGATGGCCCATTAATAAAGCAAAGGTTCGTTATAATTCCAAACAAGGATGTGAGGTGTTTTACTTTCCTCAATGAACAAAAATAAAAATCAATTATTAGTTTATTCAGCATGACAAAATATTAAATCTTGTTAATAAGATTATAAATTTAAAATTTGATATTATGAAATCCATCAAACTATTTTAGCAATTAAAGGAAGTGTCGTTATCTTTAGAGATCTCGAGTTCGAATAACTATATCTATAGGGTATATGCGTTATTAATTACTAAAAAAGATTTTGAGCATATTCTACCCTGTAATTACTTTTTACTATTAGAAAAATTGATATTATAAAACTAAAAAAAATAGATTAAAACGATGATCCTTATAATATTTTTTTATAATATTTGATATGATGCATCAAATATTAATAGCTATGAGAAAAATAAAGACAATGAATCAGAATAAAGTTTGGGGGTGATATCAAATGCAAGCAACAAAATGATAGTCGGTTGATGGAGGGCCAAATGAGACCCACTTTGGGACTTGCCTCAAATCTTGTACTTTTTAAATTGTTCAAAGATAATGCTCGAATAAGTGTATAATCTTTTAGGGATTATTCATGTAAGGGTTTAATTTTTTAAAACAATTATTTAAAGGGCCTAAAGTATAAGGGTCGGGTTTAGGGTTTATAGTATAGGTCGAGTTTAGGGTTTAAGGTTCAGGTCGGGTTTAGGATTTTTTAAGTAATTGTTTTTATTGAATAAAAATATTTTTTTATTATTTCGTGTCGGGTCGGGTTTCTAATTCATATATTCGGGTCGGGTCGGGTGAAACTTTATTTTGGTCGGTCGGATCTCGGGTGGAGGTTCCCTTATTCTCGGGTCGGGTGGACCAAAAACACGACCCAACCCGATCCATGGCCATCTCTAATTGCGATGATTTTAACTTATAATGTTTATTAGCATGATTTTTATAATTTATTTAAATGAGTAATCAATCAATAAAATGTAAATTTAATATTTTTAAATTTTTTATAATATATTACTACATGTAAGTTATAAAATAAACTAAAATAAAGCAAAAAAACAACAAGGGCAATTCTGTCATTTTACATTACTGAAATCAAATTCATCTGACATGTCTGCGAACTAAACAGAATATGAAATTTGATTTCAATTCAATTTCCTGCCAACCAAACATGTTTCAAATTCAGATTCCAATTCCTGACAGATTTCAATTCTTTCACAGATTCCAATTCCCTCAGAAACATTCCAGTGAACCAAACACCACTTAGGATATATTTGAAAAATCTCAATAAAAAAAGTACCATTTTTCAACCAAATGAAAATAATTCCTTGTGAAAGCAAGGGGTTGATAATTAAATAAGCCCATTCAATTTTATTTAAAGTCCTACCATTCTGCATGTTTTCTAGTTGTTTGTTGAAATGCCCACAAGTTCCCCATCTCACGCAAACACTAATCAACCCATTAAAAAAACCTATCTATGATATCAGTCCTTCTATTATGTTAAAATTCAATATTTAAGGCTTTATTTTTCTTGACACGATTCAATTCCATTAGCAGGATTAAGGGCCAGTTTGGCAGGGTTTTTGAAAATTGATTTTTATAAGTGTGATAAAAATTAACTTTTAAAAGTGTTATTTGAAAGTACAATCTAAAATTTAACTATTTAAGATTATTGTTACACTGTTATATATAGAATATGTAAACTTAAACTATAATAAAACTATAAAAAAATATTTTAAGATAACTCATTAATAATATTTCGTACATATGGGAATAAGGGTTAGCTATTTTTTTTCATTAATAATATTTCTATAAATGAAATATTTTATTAAGAAAAAATATATTATGAATATTTTTTAACATGTGGATATAAAATTATTGTGAAATAATAATTTAAATACTTGTTCTGACAATTTTTTTTTTCAAAAACTATATCAGTGTTTGCAGATTAAAGTGAATTTTAATATATAAACCATGAGTTTTATTTATTTTTAAGTAATTAAAATAAATTTGTAAGTAATAAACATTTTTAAGGATTAATATTAAATTATTAAAATGATATATAAATACATAAATGAGTGATGCATTAGTAAGTGTAAAATTATAATTTTTTTTCAAACGCAAAGTTGAAAATGAAAAAGCTACAAATCCTAATTTTTGCGATTGGTTTAAAATCACCGGTTCTACTGTATTTTTTTTACCAGTTTAGCATTGATTGTGCAGTTAAAACGAGTTTTTTTAAGCTAAAAGTGCGTTTAGAAAATCACACCAAATAATGCCTTAATTGATAGCATTATTAGTTAGTGTCATTAAAATAATAATGTAAGTTTTTATTCTTTATCAAGACCACACAATAAATTCATATTAAAAATTGATAAATTATAATTTTAATAGTTTATAATATTTTTTGGGATAATTTTGATTTTGGTTGCTCAAAGAAGCAAAAAAAAAAAAAAAAAAAAAAACTGCTACAACCAACAGGGGAAGAAAAAATTCCTACATACTACAACCATTACAAAAAAGCCCAACCAGCACAGCAGAAATACGTTGTGCAGCAACAAACCATCCATCCCTTACAAATAAATACCCCAGACAACATACAGCTGACAGTTTATATGGTTAAGCATATCAATGTATTTCTTACTAATTTGAATGCTAATGACCTCCCTAATCAAAGATAAAACATCCTCAGCCGAACACGAGTAGTTATATGATAATACATGTTTAGAATCTTTCGTAATCATTGATAGCATAAACACTGTACAGACGTAATTGTTCGAACATATGACCTATAGAGAGAATAATATCCTCTTTTATCTCTAAGATCACTTGATGAATTAAATCTAACAGTAGATTTTAATACTTACAACAAATTATGTTATCTTTTTGGACCTACTAATAATATTATAATATATATATGTCAAATTAATAGGCAATATCTTTGGTCTTGTCCCTTCAAAATAGGAAGTTATATAAATTATTGTAATGATGAATTTTTTTAGACTCTAGAAATAGTAAAATTTACATTTTAGTCTTTTCAAAAATTGGAATATTATAAGTTGTAATGACAAATTGAACCCTCTAAAATGTTTAGCTTAGACTTGCAAATTAAAATAAAAGGATTAAATATTATGTTTTAACAAAATGGAGGGACTAATATAAAAATTGATCCACCACCCCACCCCTTCTACTCTCTTCACGCTTCGCCGTGCCGTTTCCTTTTCTTCCTTTTTACGATGAGCCGACAAATTCAGAAAACCGAAGAACATCCACACTTTAGAGAAAAAAATAAAAATTGTACTAATTTGAATATTTTTAAAATTACAAAAAAAAAAATCAAAAGACGAAACTCTCACTAAAGTGTCTGATCCGCTGCCGTACTGTTCTGTAATTCCAAAATCTCTTTCCTTTCTTCTCATTTTCTCACTTTACTTCGATTCTCTGCGTAGGAGCAGAAGCTAGGGAGTTTAGGGGTTGTTGGTCTAGCGGTTTGAACTATAATGTGAAACCCAAGCTAAGCATTTTTAGTTACGGTTTTTTGGGGATTTCTGGTGGTTCCACGAGATCCGGACAAGAGGATAAGGCTGCGTTTCTTTGGGAAGAAATGGGGAATTGTTGTAGATCTCCTGCGGCGGTCGCTAGAGAAGACGTCAAATCGAGTTTTTCCGGTCACGATCACGGCCGCAAGGATGCCGTTTCCAAGCAGAAGCTGCCGATCACCGTTCTCAGCGGAGTTCCTAAGGAGAACATCGAGGAGAAGTACCTCGTGGATCGCGAGCTCGGCCGGGGTGAGTTCGGTGTTACTTACCTCTGCATCGATCGAGGCACGCGCGAGCTGCTCGCGTGCAAGTCAATCTCGAAGAGGAAGCTCAGGACGGCGGTTGATATCGAAGATGTGAGGCGAGAAGTTGCGATTATGAAGCATTTGCCCAAGGATTCGAGCATCGTGAGCTTGAAAGAAGCGTGCGAGGATGACAATGCGGTTCATTTGGTGATGGAGCTCTGCGAAGGCGGTGAGCTTTTTGATAGGATCGTTGCTAGGGGACATTACACGGAGAGAGCCGCCGCAGCTGTGACAAGGACGATAGTGGAAGTGGTTCAACTTTGCCATAAACATGGAGTGATTCATAGAGATTTGAAGCCTGAAAATTTTTTGTTCGCTAATAAGAAAGAGAGTTCCCCGTTAAAAGCTATCGATTTTGGGTTATCGATATTTTTCAAGCCAGGTAAGTTGTTTCAAAGTTGAATGTGTATAAAAAAATGAGTGCCTTTTCAAGAACACAGCATATTAGTCGGATTTATTAGTGATAAGGATAGATTACTACTTGGTCTTGGAGTTATTTAATCATGTAGCAAAATGTTGTATTTTGCCAACCTGGGTTTTGATTTCGTCACAAAGCATTTTAATCCAAATAAAAAGTACACAAAGAATGATATAAGTTTTCTCGGATTGGACATGCCTATGTGTTGTTGCTATATTCTGCCTACCTTTATTTGTTTATGGTCTTTGTAGTGGTGAAACAGGCACTATGTAATTTTATTTGCTCATGCTTTAAAGGTAGCTTTTATGTGCCATTCCTTAAATAAATGTTGTCAGCCACTTATTTTGCCTGTAATAAACAAACAGAAGAATGAGGTAATGCATGGTTTGTCCTTTGTTAAAGCAGTTTCCTCTTTTGCTTTTGATTCTGCGTCGGAATCACTTTTGATTCTTTCCTCTCATTATGGAAGTTGGAAGCCTACTTTTTTTCCACTTACAATTGTCCTAGTTTTGTTTTTATTGGTTATTTACACATCGTCAATTCATTACCTGTGCCAATTGAAATCTCTTTCGTCTCTCTTTACATCTTTTCTTATTATTAAGAAATATATATACTTTCCTCTCCTTGGTTTAATTCTATAATACGTAGTACGTTTTACTTACCTCAATCTGAAGCATGAGACTAGACATTGATGGTCACTATAAGTTTTAGGTTTGGAAATGGCTGCACAATGAACTGGTTTGACTTTTAGTTCTAATCCTTTTCTTCATACTGATCCATCCACCAATGACCATTGAGTTGTCAGGATAATGATTGTGGTCGGTCATGTTTGTTCGATTAATGCAAAATTTCACATTTCTTAAGGTGGGCTGTCATGGGCAAGAACTGGTTAAGGTTTATTGCTAAATTATATCGAATTGTGTAGATTTCTCTTTCACCATATGAGTGGTCTGATTATTGGATGCTTTATTATGCTATGCACCCCTGTATGCTTTGGTTTCGTGAAGATTTTCATGTTCTATTGCCAAAGATGTGGCTGAATGTGATTTTATTATTTCTATTGCCAAAGATTTTCATAGTTTGGCAGGATTTGGTGTGGGGACACTGGTGGTGGTATGAAAGAGTAAATATTATGCTAAGTAGTATGAAGTTTCTGTACTTGTTTGGCCACTTCTCCTTTTTTTGTTGCTGGTTTTTGCTTTTACTCTTTAACACAGTGTCCTAAAATGTAAATTTCAGGTGAACGATTCTCTGAGATAGTTGGAAGTCCGTATTATATGGCTCCTGAGGTGCTGAAACGAAATTACGGGCCCGAAATTGATATATGGAGTGCCGGAGTCATTCTCTATATTTTGTTGTGCGGAGTTCCTCCTTTTTGGGCTGGTAAATGTATTTCTTTTGAAGTTTGCTCGTCTCCATGCAGATGCGTGCATATTAATTAGAGAGTGATTTGAATTGTTATTCCTATATGAAAAGTGTTTTCCATGCAGAGTCTGAACAAGGTGTTGCACAGGCAATTATTCGTGGGTTAATAGATTTCAAACGTGACCCATGGCCAAATATTTCAGATTGTGCAAAGAGTCTAGTCCGACAAATGTTGGAACCAGACCCAAAGCTCCGGCTCACCGCAAAGCAAGTTCTTGGTACTAACATTTCCTTTTTGGATACTCCTCTTGTGCATGTTTCTGGGAAGGGAGGTGGATGGAGGTGCATAGGCATTTAGGCATATCCTTTCATGATTCTATTGATCTTCTAATGAGCCTTTTCTGCATCTTCAAACATAATATTTGAATCCTTATTAATATGAAATTTCTATGATTACTTTAAAATACCAAGATCTATGTTCCTCTTTTGTTCTACATCAAATGTCTTTATGATTACCATTTGTTTGTCTAATCTCTGTGTTTCCTCTTCTCATAGAGCATCCTTGGCTCCAAAATGCTAAAAAAGCACCCAATGTGCCTCTTGGCGACGTGGTTAAGTCAAGGCTTAAACAATTTTCAATGATGAACAGATTCAAAAGAAAAGCCCTGCGGGTTGGTTCCCTAATACTTAGAATTATGCTAGACAATTAATTGTTTTCTTTCACAGCTAGGGGAATCTTAAAGGGTAACGTAAATCAGGTTATTGCGGAGTTCTTGTCTGTTGAAGAAGTTGAAGATCTCAAAGTTATGTTCAATAAAATGGACACCGACAATGATGGCATTGTTTCAACTGAAGAGCTGAAAGCTGGATTTAGAAATTTTGGTCCACAGCTTGCCGAGTCGGAAGTGCAGATGCTTATTGAAGCCGTGAGTATGCTTTGGTTTACATGCTGCCATAAATTAACAAGTAACTTATTTGAGTTAGATTGGAGGCTGCCAATTTGGTATCTCCTGCTTACTTTGTTTATTAGAATTTACATTATTGTCTGCATAGCTTTCTTTTCTTTTTCTCCCTCTGAAGTATGCTTTTGAATAAGTAGGATGCCCAATTATGTAACAATTTAGAGTGGATAGCCTTTGGGAACCAATGTTCTCCTGCAATTTTATGGATTCACAGACAAAAACCATAACAATTAGGAGGCTGAGGTTTCCTAGAAATCAGATGACTACATTTCCAAGAAGATAAGCAAGAAGCTAGTTTCGATTTTGAAAGAATAAACTGACCTTTTGGACCATAGAGTATTCAGCTGTTACTCTGCGAGCATACAAGTTTTTTCACGAAGGATTTCTATGGTATTTGATGAGAGATTTTACTCTAGTTTCTTTAGTCGTAATTTTCTGGTGTTAATAATAGTGAGTAGACTCCGCTGGTAATGTTACTTCCCTTTTATCTCTTTTCCTAAATGTTGGTCAACTTTGAATTTGATAACCACCTTTAGCAGCTTTCATACTTGTGAAAATGTTTTCTCAATGTTGCTGTTAAACTCTGGCTGCATTCTGACATCTCTTTTAACACATATAGTGGCATCATTGTTTAGGTCATGTTAGTTTCAGTTTTCAATCTAAAGCGTGCATATTGACAACAGGTTGATGCTAATGGGAAAGGAACATTGGACTATGGAGAATTTCTTGCTGTTTCTCTCCATCTGCAAAGAATGGCCAATGATGAGCATCTTCGAAAAGCCTTTTCTTACTTTGATAAAGATGGCAATGGTTTCATTGAGCCAGATGAGCTTCGGGATGCATTAATGGAGGATGGAGCTGATGATTGTACAAATGTTGCTAATGACATCTTCCAAGAAGTGGACACAGACAAGGTGACCCAATATTTCCACACTAATAAATTCATATAAGCATGTACCAGTTCAACTGAATATTATTATTTTTCTAAATGCAGGATGGGTGCATCAGCTACGATGAATTTGCAGCCATGATGAAAACAGGTACAGATTGGAGAAAGGCATCTCGACATTACTCGAGAGGGAGATTCAACAGTCTAAGCATAAAGCTGATGAAGGACGGCTCTTTGAACTTGGGGAACGAGTAGAATCATACTAGCTGTCGGTTTAATTCAACCATGCAAGAAAAGTAAGTAGTATATCAAGTTCTTTCCTTGTATATCTCAGACTTCGCTTTCTCTTGTCACTTGTGATTGTGTGGGGAAGGGAGGGAGAGAGGACTCTGCATAAAATGGGGTTTGATGTTAATGGATCAATATCTTGTTTGTCTCTCTCGCTCCGTTAATATTAATCGTCTTTTGGCCGTAGTTTAGGAAGGCACTACCAAGTTTTTGATGTATTGCTTCTGGTTGACATTTAACAACATGAACATGGGATTGGAATTGAATTGAGTAGTGCTTAGTATATTTATGCCTTCCCAAGTTGAAGAAAGTTGGTATGTACTATCTGACTCTTCTCTTGCATTGCATTTTGGAATCCAAATAGGGTACTTACTACTTAATAACATAAGGACAAACTATGGTTTTTGGTCCACGTACTATACATCTTGGGAACTGTCTCTATTACTTTCTTTTTTGCATAATTTGGTCCTCCTATCATTATCATGTATTAATATTATCCCCTGGTCTGCATCAGCAGGCTAATTGAATTTCTGAATGATTTAGGGATTTGGACTAAAGCGTAACATCAATGATAATAGGAGGACCAAATTTGTACGGGGACTAAATCTTCTAGTTAAGTAGAATAGAGGGACAAATCATAATTTTACCTATAATAATATAAATACAATGTTAAACATGGAATAAAATCACATGATAATTGTTTTATTTTACAAAATTGCAAGTCAAGCTCGTTCAAATGTTTAGATGCCATCTAGGAATGGTAAAACCACCGGATGAATTCCGAACCTATCTGCTTATATGCATTGTCAATGATGCCCTTGGTTTATCAAACAATTTCAACCCAACCTTAAAATCACTACTCTTAGCAGAACTAGGAATTAGGATTGTATCACGATCACGAAGCTATTCCTTTCAAGCCCTCGGTTCTCAAGCGTTCTTAGGCTAAGCCATCAGAGTAACTTACACGTCGCATTGTGTAGAGGTTGGGTCGATTGTAACTCGAGCATTTACCTTTTGGTACTTATCGGAGAGAGATCATTTAGCGGCCGGAGCAGTCGTGACAAGCAGTTTGAAATTATATCTAAACTTTTAAATGTTCTTTTATCTTTAGAAATTATATCTAAAATTTTAAATATTCTTTTAACATTAAATCATAGGTATCCAGCAACTATTAGTTAGCCTAACGGGACGAGACGTTAGATCTAAAATCATGATAAATACTAGAAACACAAAAACAAATGAACAAAATGGCATGAGGCAAAGAGAGTTTTTTCTTATATAAACCTCAGCTTGATCACAAAACAAGGGGGGGGGGGGAACTCTATACAGAAAATCAGACAACTTGAATCTCCAGTAACTTCATTTGTTCTTAATTATGAAGTCCATTCCTCTATTTTATAAAAAGCAAACTTTAATATGATTATGAACTTTTAAATAAAAAACTATTTGGTTCATAATTCAAATCAGAGATTTACTTACGTTCTAATATAATTAGAAAAAAATTACAAGAACTTTTGAAGTGATGGTTGAAAAAGTTTTGTTCTTCTATGATGATCAGATCGGAACAATATAATATGTACGTATAAATGAGTTCAGATTTTGGTCTTTAAGAAAAATTTTGTTATATATATATATATATATATATAAAATATAAGTTATCATTTTATTCTTTTATCGCCCTATCACGGCGTCGTCAGAAACATAACCAAGATAGCAGTTCAATTGTTCAAAAATTAATAATAGAAAATGAACTGATTTGAATATTCAATTGAAAATTTTGAAGTTTTGGGATCTAACTTTAACATAGTAAAAGATATTTAGTGCAATTAACCAATATAATTTTTGGCCTTTTTTTCACGAGATCTGATCGATGCAATGAACTTATTTTATTTATTTACAAATAATATATAATTTTCTTCCCATATATTATATGGGTTTAGTCCCTCTTTTATGCTTAATGGCAAAGTAATGGAACATTTCATCAGCATATTCAATGGCATACATGCAAATTGAAGCATGCAACCACAGAGAAAAATAGGCAAAGAGCAGAGCCTTAATTCATAGAGCAATACGAATTGAAACTGCAGGTTAAAGCTTTGTGTAGGAGCCTAATCAAGTAAAAAAAATACATTAGTGTAGTAGCAGAATTCAGAGACAAGCTGTTTTATTCCTGGGACTCTTAAAAGATCAAATTTTATAAAGGGGAACAGCCGGTGAACATTTAAGCCATAAAGTTGCATCCCTCTGTATGAGAGGCTACCACTTAAAACCATGATAATTTGGAAGATGATCACTTGATGAAAGGTGATGGTGGTGTTGAACAACCAAAGGATTCCTGCAAAGGTTCAATGCTTCAAAACATGGCTCAAATATTAATGGCAACTAACGCATATAATAAACAAATTATCGATACCAAAGTGGGAATGAAGGCAAAGAGCTAACAACAAAACCAACACTCTTAGGGGATGCTGAAGAGGACACATTTGACTCCTAATCATTTACAGGTTTTTTTCAGGTGAAGAAAGGATACCCTTGTCCAAGGTCAGGGTACACCAACAACCTCATGTGGAGCTAAAAAGTTATACTAACCAATCATCTACTAAATGAGATTGCTCACTAAACTCGACCCTTGATGTCATCCACCACATGAAGTTGTTTAGGTGCCGAAAGGCGCCAGTCCAAGATCAGGGCTACCACCAGCCATATAGATGGTCGATAGTGATACTTACAGGTCATCCACTAAATGAGAATCGAACCTTAATTTCATCCACTAAATGAAATTGTTAAGAAAACCAAAGGTGACTATTTTATTCACTGAACTTTAAAATTTATTAATTTAATAAATAAATTTGATTTTTTATTGCTCTAAGATGATATGGATTATTTTATTGTTATTTTCATATGATGCTATATTTTATTAATATTTTAATACCATATGATTATGATAAAAAAAATAAATTTAAGGATTATAAATTACATCCTTAAAATTTAGACCAAAACCTTAATTCTCTAAAGCTCAAATTATAACCTCGTTCCTATCCTCACCCTCGACAGGCTCACCTTCCCATCAGTGGATGGTGGCTCTAGGGTATTCCTTGCCAAAAATATAAGGGTAAATTACGCATTTAATATCTAAATTATAAGTTTTAATCCATTTTAATACCTAAACTTTTTTTTTTCAAACCATACCTAATGTTTAGCTTTTATTTCATTTTAGTATATACTATTTAAAACTCAACGTGTTTAGTACCTAAACTATCAATTTTGGTCTGTTTTAGTACCTAAACTTTCAATTTTTTTTCAAAACTTAACATTAAACTTTGAATAGGAGTACTAAAAATGAAATAAAAATTAAACTGTAGGTATGATTTTGAAAAAAATAAAAGTTTAGATATTGAAATGGATCAAAACTGATAGTTTAAGTACTAAGCGTATAATTTACCAAAAATAGAATTCCGAATCTATTTTTAATTCTAAAGTTGGATATGATTACGTGAGCTATTTTCTACCCGTTTATCAACATGGAAATTAGCAGAGCTTGAAGTAACTTCACAATCAGAAATTGTACATCGTATTTATGGAATATGATAATGAGCAGCTTGGGAGTCTATTTACATGGGAATGTTCAATTGCTTGGGAGTCGATTTAAGAATTAAAGTCTAATTGATAATACTATTAAAAAAATAAAGAGATTAAATTTCAGAAGATCGAAGAATACTGACGATCGTGAGGGTATCCTAATTTGGGTGGTGGTTGGATTTCAAGTTCGAGACGTTTATGGTCTTCCCATCTCGACTTACGAGATCAAAGACCGAATCTTCTCCGAATTCAATTGGCAATGAGGTGCTGCATAAACATGGTTCCCAATCTGCCTCTTCCATGGCTTTCAGTATCTCTTTAGCCACCAACTTGCTCCCCTCGGAAGAGAAATGGATGCCATCCCTATTATCACATATCAACTTTTCGTTAAGAAAATATGAAAAGTAAAAACAAAATTGATTATTTTGTGGTTTTTGTGAAAGCAATCTTACGTAAAGCAAGTAGTCATCCAGTCATGTCTTTGCTGGATTGCAGTCCAGAGATCAACACATTTTATACCCACTTCTTTGCATAGCTTTACACAAGCTTCGGAATAAACCCGGCTGCCTTCATTGGTTCGGCCCGTGATCCCGAGGGTTTTGTGTAATTGTTCCTCGTTCACCGGTGGAGTACTAAGAAAAATGACACAAGTCTTCTCCGATAGGCCCTGAAGATCAAATCATAAGTGATATAGTGCCCATGGTTTTATACCAGATGAACTATCAATCAAAGGTATTCATAGTTTACTTGGGTATCAAGGAAGCATAAATCTTTAGGTATTCCTAATTTACTTGGGTAATAAGCAAACATAAATAGAGTGATTAAAACTTAGTTCAATTCTAATTTGAATCCAAAAATCTGATTCAATCTCTTTGAATCTAATCTCATTTCAATTCTATTATGTCTTTGTCAAAGGTATAAAATGTTATACCTCCGTCAAAGGTCCTCTGCATCTCAACGCTTCCGGAGAACTCTTCCACAACCAATGTTCCGGAAGATGTCTTTGGAGAAAAAGTCTCTAGAACCTTACACCTCAGAAAGCAACAATCTTACGACATTACATCTGCCAGCTACATGCCCACATGATCTTTCAGAGTCAATTCTATTGTTATATATCTACTTAGCCTGCTACCCTACTAGTAGTAATAATATCCTTACGTTTGACACTTGCACTAAGAGCCACTATAAAACTTCTTGAACAAAACCGAGAGAAGAGATGAAACCAAATCACTCACATTCATCTCTTAATGGAAAACAATAATTCGACACTTGCCAACAACCATCTAACCATCGACTACGGTTGTCCGCCCAAATAAGAAAGTATGAAATCTTCTATTTGTTCTCATCAACAAACTCAATTTGACCTTAAGAGGCAAAAATCAAATTCATCAACTTGAATCCAAAACTAACGATACGAAGCATGAACTATTGAAGAAAAAATATTACCTGGAGATGCATAGCAATCTTCTTCATGTTGTCAACATATTCAGGAAGAGGTACATGGGGGCCAAGGCCAGATGGGTGGGGTTCAATTGAGTCATTGCCACCAAAGTAAACTATCACCAATGAAGGTTGTACAACACTATCCTTCATTCATATATGTTAATTGAGCAATTTTATTTTAGAACTTTTGAGAATAAAGGGTCAAAAAATACATATGAATTCATCCAAAAAAAAAAAGAATACTATACCTGTGGAAAGACCTTGG